ATTGTTTGTTTACTTAATGAATTGTTTGTTTCAAAGTAGGCCGTAATGCAGGATGTTAGGCTAATAGATGACTCGAAGACCAGAGTTGATCTATAAAAATGTTTCAGTAGTCCGCGAAGTTACAGGCTGATGTATGTACAAGTACAATACGCTCGAACGATTGGTTTGTCCAGACAACAAAGGGAATATTTACTAGCAAGATCTAGGCATGACTTTTGATGTTTCTGAAAGGTTTATTAAGCTTGTGATGTAAGACTTGGTTGTTAATGTTTTCAGAAGGCCAAACAGTGCAAGTAGCTTTAATGAAACGAAATTATCGTAGGGAGTTTAAATAGGAATTAACACAGCATTTCCATGTAGTTATTATTTACAAGAAAGATTTAATTTTTAATTTTTAGTCACTTTCAAAAGAAATCTTGTATTGACTCCACTGGAATGAATTCAAAACAACACATGCAAAATGAAATGGGCGTATTAATAAACTCAACTAATGCACGCCCCCCACTTGTATGTAAACATAACCTTAGGTTACAAAGATTCAACAGTTCAACAAACAAGGAAATAATGTCGACCGAATGCAAATTTCAATGTGAATCTACTGCATTAGAGCGGTAAATATTTGAAATTCACTCTGTGGAATCAATACAGATAATACTCGACACTTTGTTTGGTCGACGATGTAATGCTACATCCACCAACGATCTTAGACAACAATAAGTGTTCTTGAAACTGTATTACATTCCGAATACATATCCGCTACTGCGGAACAGAACAACCGTCCTGAGACGACAACTGAATGAAAATTGGGCTTAAACTTGTTTGATTCTCCCTACTCAAACGAATCTGGGCACCAATCGTAATTGTATGATCAGTTAGCATTGCGCCAGTATTTAGTAACAATTATTAACAAATTGTTGTTCAATAGAAGCGGTTTGCATAGATTATTTATTATTAGTAAACCACAGTAAACTTATTTTATATTATTCTTAATATTCAAGGTTGATATAGTATATTATCTTATACTCGTACTACCTCGAAACATCCAGGATTGCTTGTAATTAGTGATGTGGGTCGGGTAAATACCCAGTGGGTAGGTAAATATAAATTGGGTATTTACCCGGGTTTTTACCCCAGGCCCGGGTAAATACCCAAAAACTGGGTATTTATAATTTTTATTACAGTTAGAGAAGATTTAGATGTTTTTTTGCAATTATTACCCTGTAAGGATAGTAAAATGATGATAAAATGTGTTAAACAAAATTTCATATGGTCACTACTAGCATTTTCCTTACGGGTATAATCGCCATAAATACCCAGGTCTGAGCATAAAGCATTATCGGCATAATACCCTGGTCGCATGGTTGCACTGGTCCTGACTCCTTATGATTTTGTAATTTCTATGATAGATAAATGAATTTATTTTATTGGAAGTGAAGAAAAATAATTTGTAAAGTAATAATTATTATTTAGAAAGAATGACAGGAAGATTTAACCTAGTAGTGGCCTATGTGTAAACAACTTATGAAAATAATTAAAATTCAATCTGTAGGATATGGCAGGATTTAATAATATTTTTGTTCTAGATCTTTTGTTGGTATCAATGGTATCAAAATAAAAAAAAAACTAATTTCATAAACTTGTGATACAAAACATTTGAATCTATAGCACAATAAATCTTTCAAAATTATATTAAGTTAGACCAAAAAACAGGAGTTACATTTTTTTAGTAGGTTTATCCAAATATATTATTGTTTCCAACTAAGCGGTAACACAGAAGAGTTTAATTACTTTTAGTATTCTGCCATTCTGCCTATGTCAATCAGGCTTAGGTCTGTCTAGCCTTCCAAGCCATTTATACAATAGAAATTTTAACTATCATAATTAAATAACAGTAAAAGTAGGTTCACTATTTCTCTGATGAGGTTGTTTTGATTTCATTTCATAGGGAGTGTTTAGTTTCTAGCATTCTCAATCAAAGGTAGCATCACAGGCTTGTTTTATTACTGCACACCTGCACACCCAGCCTGTTTATGTTATGGTTATAAATTTATAAAATGATAAAAATTGAAATAGCCACAGGCTTGTTTAATATCCTATTTTTTATTATGTTAAATTTAACTGATGTTACTCGATTTAAGACACGAAACCCCATGCTTATTAAGAAACTTTATGTATTATTTACAAAAAAAGTGCTAAATCATTAAATAAAAGGTACTATCAAAGCTTCAAGTTACTGTAAAAGGTGTTATAGGCTATCCTAATTTATCATGTAGTGATAACAATAACATATTTAGGGGTAAATATAAACGAATTTAAATTGATTTCATAAATACCCAAAATACCCGGGTATTTATGGATTTTGGGTATTTACCCGGGTAAATACCCAGGGTATTTACCCCGAGTTTTAAATACCCAGGTATTTTACATCACTACTTGTAATGTTTTAAATCAAATTAAACTTACTTTTTATTAAAAACCATTAGTTTTGAGTTTGTATGGCGACTAGTTAAAAAAATTGTTTTTTTAGGCCAATCAGGCTTGAAATACCCATAAGCCTCTTATTTGTTAACCTGTGATATAAATATATTTATTAACCTACACTCATTTAGAACAATGTATTCTAGATCTAGAGTACTTCTCGTAACATTTGTTAAATATTTTAATAAATTACTAAATAAACATTACTATGATTGATGTTTTAAGTGAAGTTCTCAAAACCAAACGTGATGAATGGATGTATAATAAATATTTCGATATATTAAAAATGCAGTGACCTATTTAGAAAGACAATTTCCTTATTTATGCATAATTGGATATCTGAGAAGTTGATAATACTGTACTAAGCTTAAAAATAAAGAAAAGAAAATGTTGTCTATATCTAGGTCAGAGGAAACCATTCCAATAGACAAATACTGTGTTGGTTGACAATATTGAAATTACTATTCTTTAGGTTTCTATTAATATTTTTTTTGGCAAATAAAATCTTTATTTTAGTGTATTTTAAGCAAAACTCAACTAAAAAAGTAATTACTTGTAGTGTATCCACAAAACACTTACAACAATCAACAAAATCTTATAAGAATAAATACATTTGTGAAGAAATGTGTTAGGTTTTAAAACAACTACTATAACTTTAACCTATAAATTGTTTGCCCAAATGTGACCCTGTTTCATTCACACAAGATTTTAAAAATATTTTATTTTCAACATTTCAAGAAAGTTCAACTGTCAGACTTGAAATGCAATTTATATTGTAAAGCGGTTGGAGCCCGGCTGGTTAGAGTGACTGTTCAGTGTTCAATGCTGACGTGGATGCTAGTGTATAATGCATGCTCAGGGGTAATTGATTATCAACTAAGGTAGCCTACTGCAGAAGATATATTGCGGTTCCCAGTGGTTGCGTATCATAGTTGGCAATGCTATAATTACTTTGCTTTGTAGTCTTTCACCAGTGATACTCATTTCTAAATTAATAACCCAGTTTTATAACTGCAGTATTTATACATTTTTTTACTGGGCTGTGTTGTATTGTTATTTGTGTAACTAGTGGGTGAAGTGGCACTTTGCTGCACACGAGAGAAATGTTTTTCGAGAGCAGTAAAAGCAGTTTGCACTTGTGTTACACATTATATTTTCCTGCAGTTTCTATAAATCATATAAATAATTAGGCTTTCAAACACTGTACAACACGTTTTTAGGTTAGGTTAAATCTAAACATCAAACGAAATGGGAAACTCTGCACCAGCTGATCGTAGTTGTAATATCTGTGGTGCCAACTTATTTTCAATCGTACACGGATTACGTGCATAATAAAAGCACGCTGTTAAGTGTTGTTTGGTTGGAATACTGGTGTGCGCCAAAGTAAAAACTGTGCGCCAAAGCATAGAATAAGCATACTCTCTAAGGAAGTATGCTTAATCTATGGCCAAAGTAAGGCTTTCTGTACTAATCTGTGCAAGGAAGCCCACTATGTTGGGTGACTATAGGATAAATCCTTTAAGTGTGTACTTAATGTATCTTCTAGAACTGTAGCTGAAGTGAACTGATGTTTAGCTTGATTTACAGCTTTCTTAAAGTAAACAGCTGTATAAATAATCAATCAACTAATGACACAGAATACAGTTAAATTGTAACGTGTTAATAAAAAAAATCACGATATTTAACTGTTCTAATAAATTGATTTTAATAAATAAATTGTTCTCCAACAGTGTCTTATATTTCTTTTGCACTACAGTACAGTGCAAAATAAATATAAGACACCGTTGGAGAACAATTTGAATATACTGGTAGTTAGTTTACACAAGAACTTAAACAAATACAGTTCAATTTTTATTGATAAAGCATAAGTCATTTAATTTTATTTTTCAAGTTGAGATCTCAAGTACCACAATATCAATTCAATAATCTCTCCAAAGGCGGCTGCATGGTAGTTAGTTTTTATTCAATTAACTAAACAAATATATTTTTATATGTGAAATACCTGTTAAGTCTAGCACAGATGATTCCTCGCCAAGCCATTGACCCACTTACCCCCCCCCCCCCCCCCCCCACCAACAATTCACCCCAACAACGCCTAAGACCCATCCGCCACGTCTTATTTGCCCCTTACTCGATGTTTTCATCGATTTCTCATCCCTCATCCTTTCGTTAGATCATAAAACCAATGATACGAACCATATGTGTTATGGGATTTTTTTAAATCGTTCCGTTTCTTTTCTTATTTTACACGTCTTATAAATTGCAAACATAACAATTTACACCCAGGAAATCTCTTTTAACTTACACCTTACCCTGTCGTGAATAACTTAACTACCTCGAAAATAGATACCAATGATAACTGAGCTGTCAAATGTGTATCTGTTAAGACATTTTTCTATTTAAAGCTGTATAACAGCCTCGTAATATGTAAAAGCGTTAAACCATTTAATATTGTAACTCTAACTCTTTGTACTTAAGAAATATACGATTTTGTCCTAATAATTCTGTTTTATCTTTTACAGAAAGATGTTCATAGGAGGCCTCAGTTGGCAAACTAGTCCAGGTAAGACAAAATTGTATTGATATCGTATTCGAAGTATAGTTACCTTAAGTTATATTTATACTTATATGTGTACCTTGAAAAATCATTGTACGGTAGTTCGTCGAATGTACATTTACACTCCACGGAATTGACTACCAAAAATAATATAACAAAATCAAACAGCTTGTTTTACCAGACTAAGGTGCTATGTTTGCTGCTCGCCAAGCATATTATGTAGATTGTTTAAGCTGGCATTTCGTTTTCTTGCAAATTTGATTATCCCTCAACGTGGTCACGTAGTAATGTAGTCTATTACAGTAATGCTTTGTAATATTGAGTAGGTAAATTAGTTTATTTAAATTTAACCATAGTATAGTTTTGGTATCTCTTATCAAGTGTTGATTTCTAATGCATTTTTCCATAAAATGAAGTGATTTGTTGTAACATATCCCTCTAGAATAGTAACGTTTTAAGAACACTTTTGCAATAAGCAAACTAATTTTAGATTATCAAAATTAAGTGATATACAAGGCACCAATTAAAAACACTCGGTTTTTAGGAAGATATGAGGGATATGAGGGGTTTTCCACGTTGAGAGAGAGAGAGAGAGAAAAATTCTTTATTTACAACAATTATTTTGCAGCATTACATAAAGGAAATAAAAAAATATCACATGGGTCACAATGACCTGTGCGTGATAAAGAAGCATGTTAGCATGTATTTCCTTTTTGTCATGAATTTCTCTGCTTAATCAATTAGATTTTGCGTAAATTCTGAAAGAATGTGCTTGACTGATGTGTTGACGGAAAGTTTCTTGCAACGTACAAAACTGAAAATAAATATGATTGATTTACAGGTTGACATGTAAATAGTTTTAGAATACTTGAGTACATTGACAATTTTGAAAGCTCCGTCATAAAGCTTTTCTTAAATTGTACGTAATGTATCTTTTTACGTAAAGGTTTCACATTTACTGTATAATTGTGTACAACGGTAATCCACACAATCTTAGTGATTCAATCATTCAGTGAGTCATTCAACCATTCAACATAAAAATAAATGGTTTAATATCAGTCTATGTTGGATCACAACTAAGTCATGCGATATCAGTATCAATATTGGAAAAGATTATGCTTCATCGAGGATATTGAAAAAATAATAAAAAACATGAATTAGAGTTAAAACATTTAAATAAACAGTTTTACAAAGTACGACTTAAAAATAATTAATCAGGATATCTGGTGGTGTTTCTTGGTGATTTTTCTAAACTACAATATTGCTAGTGTCTTAGCACCACTCTTGTAAGAAATTATTCCTAAAATAATAAAAAAAAACAATTAGTGGTTTGCCACGACCTTGATACGGTATAATTCTATTCAATTAATTGAGATGGGGACGCCACATAACCCAAATATGAGTGTAGATTGGTGTCAGATGATCTGTGTAGCCTTGTTACTGACTAAGATCAGCTGTTTAATTTATTTAAAGCCCAATGATCAGGGACAGCTGGGTCCAGTTTCGAACCATCACAAACCTACTGACACAGATGATTTGTGATGATTTGTCTATCATGTGTCTCAGGATAGAACCGGTGACCATTTGATCGAAGGCGAGCAGTCGTCTACCTGCACTAATGCACTGTTTAAGAATTTCCCAAATTTTTACGAGGCCTTTAGTCCTAAAACCTATCACAAATGGTATTTCTTAATTCAAGAAAATAAAAAAAAACACTACACCGTTAACTGTTTTGCTTTGTTTCAACACTAAGTGATCTGAACTAATTAATGACTGGATGCTTAGTAAAAATCCACTAAATTAGTTATTTAATAGCTATTGGTTGCCTATTTTTGAACTCTCAGTCCCATTTTATTATTATGGAGTAATAGTGAATTGCTAATGCTATGCTTTTTACTGATACTTATTAAAAATAAATGAATACTTATTTGATCTTTTGAAATTTGTATCCGGAACCAAAAGCTTAGTTTCAAATGCTATTTTACAATCGACCTACAGTATTTAAATTATAACTAAATATATAAGCCTAATGGGGAATTCATTTTGTGTAAAGGCCAAATTTTGTCTACATTTCGTCTATTGTAGGAATTGGTCACTAGTACAATGTTATCTAAAGGAATAAAATTACATTAACTAGCATTTTTATATTTTATTTGCTTAGTCAATGTTAGCGTTAATCACGGTTTACATTATGTTGTTCCAAAACTAACTCTTTGGAAAATATAAGTAATTAATTTACGTCGAATTTCAAACAAAGAAATATTTTGTGTGGTCTTTGGGTCTTCGAAATATAGTATACTAAAAACGCTATCAACTATACACAATAGGTAGTCCTAATTAGTATTAATTTTGTTTTCTTTTAGATATTGACTTTTAAATGAATGAGACAAATGATGGCATCTGTTTAAGAGTAATCACTACTCTTAAACAGACGCCAAACACCAAATAAGGCTCCAATAGATGTGTTTTCATTACAGACACATATTCAAGTCCATTTAAGTTCTCTGTCTTTTCTTCATTTTAGTAACGTAACAATGAACACGTTAAACGACAATTCAAACACCATTACACTTAATATCTGCAAATGTCGCGTACAGACTGGCTGTGACTGATGTGAGGTCAAGGTCATGGGAACCTATAGGCCTACTAATATTTTTTTAACATAAGAAAGATATACAAATGGACCCTTCAATACATCCCTATGCATAATTTGCTAATACGTGCATGGAACGCGAATAAATTGGGTAAATGTAAGAATTCGGTACACACCATCGAGTACGCTATTACGGGGCCATAGAATACATTATTATATGTATTCTTATTATATATGTATTCTATAGCCCCGACGCTATTATACGGGGCGGCGTCTTCGCTCCTCAGAAGTTCAAAAGTGGAGCGGTGTGGTCTGCTGGTCTGTCTGGCCAATAATGGACCATAAAGTCTCTCACCAGAACCAGACCTCGACCCCACAGGTTATGTATACAGAGCTCGCATCACACAGTCATCTCCAAGAAAATTCGAAAACCTTTTTAGTTTTCGGGCTTTTCGTGAAAAGTTTATAACAATCTGAGCACAAATCTGTAAGTCCCGAACTTCTTCTATTCCTGAACTCAGTTTTAGTTTGCATAGGGTCCAAATTAAATTTTAATTATTTAAGAAAAAGATAAGTTAGCCGTGAAACCAACCTTACCTAGGCCGGCAAGCATTTAAGGAACTCAGAAGTATCCGACCGTAGTTGGTTGAAAATAATCACGGTATATGAGTAAAATATGTAATACACTTGACCAAATAAGAACGTCGAAACAGCCAATCATACACAATATGGTCATGAGCTCCAATAAGGTTTGTATGCCTACATACCCTTCCTGTAAGCAGTTGGATATAATATAAAAATTCGCTGGGAAATGCGCAAAAGTTGCATGGTGTTTTTGTATTTATAAAGGTACTAACATTTTATATTGTCACAGGAAGAGGGAGATTTGCGTCACTTAGAGATCTTAGAGAGATCTTAGTTGGTTTTCAATAGCTTTCTAGGTAGATACGTATAGTGAAAAGATTTCTGCATTTCCGAATGGTTAGAGTGTATCATTTTAGGAACGATAAATTAACAACCGAAAAATAAAATGGCATTGGACACTATGGTTTTTGTTTTGTAAATTTAAGCACATTTTACGGAGGGGAGTTGAATCCTAAATTAAGGGTAATTGTCACCATCAAACTTTGATTTTTTTATTCAAGGAACAAAAACAGTTAAGTCCAATAGCATGCAATTGATTAAAACTGCTATAAACCCAGTTAATTCTTCGGCGGTCCTTTGACGGTTCACGACGTCATATTACTTTGCAGTTGGCTTATATAATTTTGGCTGTTAAGTAACTAATATGAGGGTTTTGCTCCGAGACCAAACCCACACCGGTCTCCTCTCCAAAGGCTTTTGTTCCCGCTAACAAAACATTGAATTGTAAACAAAACAAAAACCACAATAATGCAGCTCACCTAGCTTAGAGCTTTAATTAACTTTGCTTTTTGCTCACTCTTTGCGCATTAAATTTAGAGATGTTATTGTGGCCCTTTGAAATATGACGCATCTCTTCATTCGTTTTTATATACAGTACATTTAATAAATGAGATCATTCATGACAATTTAACAAATTTCATCAAGGAAATAACTACTTAATTGATACTTCGATGTAGTTTTTTGTTCATTTGATTTGTTTGTTTGAATTTTGTGAAAAGAAAATTCTAATTTGTATAATTATTAAAGGTAAACAATATCGATAAAGTAATATTAAAGAAAGTTGTGGCCATTATCGGCTTAACAACACTGAAATGTTACATTGTTGAAATAGGTTTATAGCTACTGTATGGGAAAAACTACTTTTTCTGTGGAGCACCAGTTACATGTATAAGCAGACTCATATATAACAATCAAGCATTTAAATTGCAATGTCACATTACATGTTACATTATGGTGTGTTACAATTTAGGCTTTTGATCAACCAAATTACATAATAACTCTATTGACCTATCAGGGGTAGGCGTTTGATGGCACATTAAAAGTCAAACCAGAGATAATGGAATATATAACGTCAATATGGGTGGGATTAGTTGAGCATAACACAAAACGTATGTGACATTTTAAGGTCTGTGGAAAAGTACTTAGTCAAAATATTAAAATGATCATGTAGTCGGGTAAATATAGGATATGACCTTAAAAAAATTGCAAGAAAACGTTTTATGGTTTTATTTTGTAGAGTTGGGTTTGCAGAATGACATACTAAAAGTTGCCAAAAATCGGTGCACGAGAAAACCACTAAAATCACAATTTAAAATGGCGGCTTTTTTCAACATTGGACAAATTAAAAAAACATATTTCACATGCATTTGCTATGCACATTTTTCGAGATATTGACTTGGGACCACCGCCTGTATTTATTGAGTGGTTAGTACTTCATTTTGATAGGGAACATGTTTTTGGCCGCCATCTTGGATCCGCCATATTGGAC